GAATAAAAATAATTATATTTGTAATCTTCGTGGGAAGTATTTTACAATTCCAAATTAGTATTCCAAGAGTGAAACATCCTTCCAAAACACACTGTTTACTTCTGTAGGTACATATTCTAATAATCACCAAATGGTAATGTAGAATTGACAGTCGGTACAGTTGATGCTGAAGAAGATACCTTCTTTACCATCTAGCTATCTCTTCTTTATCGGTAGTATTCAAATATAATAGAATCCTTTACGCAAATTAAGAATCAACAAAATGATCTATTTTCCATAAACCTGTTTAACAATGAATGCAACTTTGTTCCTAATATCATAACGTCTATATCTTGACAATTTTGTTATTCTTAATATTCTGTACTCGGTACAGAATGCAATTGAACTTGTTATTAAGTACAGATTAACGTTATAATACACTGTACACATGATGTACATACGGTTAATTAAAATTCCATTGTGTTCCAAGGAAAATGTTTACACTGGCGACAGACAATTTTCAGAATTTTCGGTAAAAATACGAGGAAAAGGGAACACGGAGTTCCTGGTTACGCCGTGACGCCGTGACGAGGCTCGAAAGATCTTCGTTATTATTTCAGCGAAACGAAGCGTGCATGGGTGCACGCTCGAGTTGGCTCAAGTACGAGTTGTTAACTTCCCCGCGTGGATTCTGACCAATTTATTACGCACAGAATTCCTTCTTTTATTTTCTACGATCATCGCTCGATAATTGTCGCAGAATCTTGCAGACAAATCTTCGCCACACCGAAGACAATGCAACGTAAATTTCTTTGCTTCGTTTTCAGTGATTTCTTTGATCATTATACCACAAACCATATGGTACAGTACAAACTATTTCTAAAATTCACGATAGCAGCGTCGTCTATCTGGAAAAAATTAATTACATAAAAGTCTGTACAAGTACTCAATTTGTTTAAAAACTTTGTCTTGTAAAAACAAGGATCATACTTGATAAATTGCAAATAACCCAGCTTCGAGACTTACTGAACAGCAAAAGAAAAGCTAAATAAAATAAAAGGCAATGCGTTGCTAAGTGAAAAGTGGGAGACCTCATTCGGTTGGCTAAGTATAATAATTGATTACAGAATTCGAATAAATCGAGTAACATTCGAGTGTTCGTTAAACCACGTTAAAAATGTTGACGAGTCTGACACGTTAGAAGGCAAGTGGCGAACAGTAGCGAAAATCAGATTTCGCCGAGAAGAGTCAGCCGAGTTCGGCGTCTAACGAGAACCGCTGGTACGCTATGCGAGCCGATATTTTTACATTGTCGGCAGTCGGGGTTCCTGGTGTTGGTGGACGACACTGAACAGGGAACGCAGGAAGAGGACTGAGAAGCTCCTTACGGAACGCACGTAAACGAACGTTCGTCACGCATCGCGGCGATAAAGCCAGCCAGGTATCTCGGGGATAACGTTACTCTTGGCTGCGTGTGTGTTGTCCTGTAATTCCATTAATGCACCTCCGCGGACAGGACGTTCGAAAAAACGCAGCAAGCCGGTTTCCATGTGAAGAGGAGACTTTTTAGTGGATATCCGAAAACTAACCTCTGCCTGACGTGCGGCGATAGTCCTCGAAACAGGAGCGTGTTACAACCAGGATCGAAAATCAACTGAAACGCGGAGCCGCACAGGTGTACCAGGTAATTGTGAATTTCAAGTATAGATCAAGCTCATTAACAAGCAACCGAAGCAAATACTTGAGTATCTAGGTCTCCGCTGTATTGCAAAATACTCTCGTCTATCGATACGCGAGGAGATAGATGATCAACTAACCATAGTTACTTTGTTAATGAAGACGCATTTGCAAGAATGTTCGTGCATTTCATGGTTCGGGATTACCATCCAAGACGAAGTTTCTTTAATGTTCATGGATTTAGGTTAATTGTGTGGCCAAAGAGGAATAGAAATTTATCGTTAGCCACGGTTCGCGGGGGAAACGAATTGATTTTTGGCATGAGCGGTTATCCCGTAAAAACCGTCGAATTTCCATGCCGCGGTTGCGTAAGCGGACGCGAAACGACTCCACCATGAGACAACCACGACGAAAATGTTGTTTCCGTTCGCGAGTGGTTTTCACGAGGTTGCTTTCGTGCGGAAAAGTCGAATACGGTTATATTGTTCGTCACGGTTATTACACGCGTATCTCTTTCATGCTTTTTCTTTCTTCCTCTCTTTCTTTGTTACACCTGCCGTGCACGACAGATATCGCAACAATCCCGCTCGCAGATTTTCATTCACCGATAAATTTCGTATATAATCATCATTTCAAATTCTACTCGCGCTCTACTCACAATGTTGTTAAATATTAAAGCCGTTGCCGGTAATAATTCCTCGGTCCTTCATGGTCGCTCGATTTCCTGAATAATAAAAGGAACTGTGCTACCGGCGAGGCACGTTTTCCCGCGTTTTTTTCTTTTCGCCATGCCGCGAACAATGAAAAACAATGGAAAAGAACCAGGGCCGTGGTCCGATCGAACGCTCGTAAACGGGCGACACGTATTACAGCCGATCTCGTGTTATTATGTCAAGTGCCAGCCGAGTGAAAAGCGACAGATCGGTTTTTCGTTTCGAACTCGTAATTTACATTCAATCTCCGAGCGAACCCGGCCTTTTTGCACATCCCTCGAGAAATTTTGCCGCACACACTTTTTCCTAGAATATCGCGTTATTGTGTCCCGAGATTGCGTTCCGGGATAACCTCGTTTCTTCGACGAACAAACAACGAACGAGAAAAGAACGAGCACGAACGACGAATAAGTATATACACGGAACGTAGTTACGTACGCGCTGGTCCGTTGAGGTTATGTTCGGCATAAAAAAGAAAGCCAGCCGATTAATCATATTTAATAGAGAGATGCATCACGGAAAGGAGGAGAAAAAGAGGAGAACCGTAACGACGACGGGTGAAAGCTGTTTTCTCGTTGCCGTACCGGCGCGGGCCATGTTAACACGTCGATTATCCGTAAGTGATTAAATTATGCTCCCCTTGTCGTTTGCGCGCGGCCACAGTGAAACTGCGAATCAATTATTCGTCGCATTGTCGATCGGTAGAGGCGTACAGGGCGGAGGAGGAGGAGGTGGAGGAGGAGGAGAGATGGGGAGCCACGGGCCCGTTTTTGCGGACCGTGAGAGCGATCGTCGGCAATAAAACCGGCGGGGCCCAGCCTCCTTTTGCGGTCCGCGGCGTGTTTTATCAGAGTGAAATCCTTTCTCTGCGAGCGCGCGAGAGACGTATCGCCGCCTCGCGGCGCCGCGCCTCTCCTCGGCTCTGCCCGGCCACTTAATTACACGAATCCGCGCGGCGCGCCGCGGCGTTACGCGGAATTACATAAATATCATATTCTTTTCTTTTTTTTCCAGCGAACCGGAATTACGGTCAAGGCTAGCGCCGATCGGTCTCGATTTCTAAGGTGACGCTCGAAGCGGAATCACCGGCGACCGTCGGAAGGGAACGCGGAGCGCTGCTATCATCTCCGGCCGTCGTCGTCACCGGTTCACGTGTTCCGTGTGATTATCGACTTTACGGCGGATCGGACTGCGCGCCTTTACGCGAAGTTAAATGGAACGTTGGAAGATTGCACGTTCCGGAACTAGTACGAGGACCGTGGGACTGGCTCGGCCCTCTTACGTCGAATATGGGAACTAGTAGTTCCCCGAGGAGAATTATTTTCATGGAACCACCCTGTATATTATATGAATGCGTCCAACTTCCCTAATGCTTCCGACGTCGGACGGGGGAAGCGGTAATATCCTAGGGGAGACTGTGCTCGGAACAGCTCGTATATTATGCGGATGTGTTCTAACTTCTGTACTGCTTCTAAGGCTGGAGGACTGGTAACTCCCTAGCAGGAACTGTTTTCGTAGAAGTAGATGTGTCCCAACTTCTGTACTGCTTCTAATGCTGGAGGACTAATAACTCCCTGGGAGGAATCCTTTTCATAGAAGCATCCTGCATGTTGTGTAGAAATTCTGTAATTCTTCTTTCATTCCCAAGTGCAGTGGGAGACTTTGAAGCTCGAGGACTCGACCTAAAGGAACTTGGACACCCAGTACGTCCCAACTTCTGTACTAATGCTGGAGAACTGATAACTCTTCAAGAGAAATTATTTTGATAGAACCATCCAGCATGCTGTATAGAACTTCCCTGATTCTTCTCTGATTTCCAAGCGCAGTGGGAGCCATTGAAGTTCGAGAAGTCGACTGAAAGGAACCCGGACACCTGGTACGTCCCGACTTCTGTACTAATGTTGGAGAACTCTTAACTCCCCAGGAGGAATTATTTTCATAGAAGCATGCTGCATGTTTTATACGTGTAAAACTTCCGTGATTCTTCTCCGATTGCCAAGTGCAGTGGGAGACATGGAAATTGGAGGATCCGAGCGAAAGGAAGTCGGACACCCGGTACGTGGACCGTGGAACGCGTGTGCCTGCGCTGGATCGCACAATGGGAATCGTCCGGCCGATCGCAGGCTAAAACACGATGGGATCGCGCGATTTATTTGCGACGTGGATCGAGGTGGGTCGCGGACGAAATGCGGGACTGCGCGTAGGTGCATCGCGCGATGCAGCGGGCGCAAGATACTTCAATAGCAACGCCGTGGAGAACGAATACGCGCGGGTCGTGTTGCCCACAGGCTCCGTTTGCCCCGACACAGAAACCTTTCTCTCTCATCATCGTGCGCGCAACGTCCGCGCCGTTCTCGGGTCCCCGTGTACGTGCACATGTAAACGTGTGTTTAAGTACGTGTACACACCGGAGCCCGATTAATTGATGCACGGCCGCGTAATGGCGCGGTTAAATGATCGACGAGGTGGCACGGTCGCACGGTGACCGACACGATGAGTCGTGTCTTGCTCTTGTGGGCGCCCTCTGCTTCTACCGACTCTATTTTCGCGGACAATTCTACCGTGTTCGCCGTTTACGCGCCAATTCCCGCGCGGAACGGTTTCACTCGAAACGGCGCTGCCAACCTAACGCGTCCCGGTGTTCCGGTATTCGGGACCGAGCCACGTACAGGGTGTTCAATTTCGTTCCTGATCGTTCGAACAAATTTCTCGGTTTCCCCGTGCGTTGCAGATCTGTTCGCGCCGGAAACATCCGATGAACAGGTAGAATACCATTTCCGCTGAAATCCGTTTCAGTGGTTTTTCAGTGAAGGTACTGCAAAACATTTGCGTATCGCGTGCACGCCGATGGGTCGACACAAGGAAGGAAACTGCGATTCTAACCGACCGCGGCACGACTCGAGCGTCGAGGTAACGGCCAGTTCTGGTTCACTTTCGATTTCACCGGGGCCGCATCTCTCTAGGATCGCGGGGCAACGAGGCGAGCGCTCGCGCGTTGATGATAACGTTCAGAAAATCGCGTGACACGCGACGCGTCCAGGAAACCCGACCGCCGGGAGTCCCCGGTCGCCGCCGCGGACTGGTGAAAGTATTTCGCCGGTTCTTTCCTTTTCTTTTTACGAGCGAACGAGGTGGAACAAAGAGAGACGCGACTGGGCGACGTAATGGCGGAACCAGCGCACCGTGCGATCCTGGATCCGCATCTGCCCGGCGATTACCGGCTGAATTACGCGTCGCCGGGGAAGCTTCGCGGCGACGTTCCCGATGCCGGAAAGATCAGCGCTCCTCTCGCGGAAACACGCGACTGATAAGATGATTGTACGCGGCCAGGGACCGTCAGCGACTGAACGGCACTCTCGCTCGATAATGGGCGCAGAACGACGGGAAGACGGAAGGAGGATTGAATTGTGACGCTTACGTGATCGCTAGGAACTTTTACCGATCTTTCGCTACTTCCTTTTGGTTGGATCAGTCGCGTAACAGTATTTAATCGGATCGTTCTATATTATCGCGTCGCTTTTTGCGAATGGCGCAAATGTCTTCTCGTTCTGTGAGGACAACTGCGCACGGTAACCTTGTTTCGCGGAATAAACAAATGAACAAATATAATAACGAACTTCTCATTTTCAATTGTACGAGCGTGCAGTTGTTTATTCGGGAAATATAAACCAGTTCGCTCGGAGCGTTCGCAGTAGCTGCGCTGTGTTTGATGAACAATTTAATGGTGTACAGCAGCGCGAGCACGAAACAATTCAAGCGGTACTCGCTTTAATTCCCGGTGAAATTGTATTAATCTAGATTAGCCGGGGCAGTCGTTAAGCCCGCGGAACGTTTCGCGCGTTCCGTCATAAATCCGTTTTGCATTTCCGCTTCCGTCGGGCACCGCGTGAGAGTCCGGGGGATTTGCGATTCGATTATTCCCTATACGACGCAACAATGGGGCAGAAAAAAATGCATTGAACGTTAACAGGCGACTGTAGCTCATCTCGTTCGAGTTTCAATTATTTCTTACTTTCGCGATGATACGCGGTAAGCGCGTTAACGATTGTTTATTGCAACGCGTGCGAACTAGCTTGTCCATTTAATTCCTGCGTTCGCTGCCGCGGCAGACGCTCGATTATCCGAATCACTTTGTTCCCGATTCATTCGGACAATGGCGGTTCCACTGTGGTATGTTGTATATTAATATTTTATAGTATACAGTATGCACAATAAGATATTATATAATAGTGAATAATACATCATATAATGCAATAAAATATTATATATATATACATATATAATATTTTATAATATTTTATTGCATTATACGATATATTGACAATACTACTCTCGTTACATTGCCACTGTTCCGTTATCCGAACCATCTTAGTCCGAATGGATTCTAGTTTAAAGTGCGTCAAAAGTCTAGAGTGTGCTGGTCGAAAAGGTTCCCTTGTTAGGTTCGACAACGCTCGCGCACGGCCGCCATGAAATTTCCAAGATGGCCGGCTCGCTACTTCCGCGAAACGTTGTCCCTTAAATCGCGGTTTTTTACCGCGCGGTCCGCGGTTTTACTGCCGCGGCCGGTAATGAAAATGTTCCGCCTCTACGCGAAACACGCAGACGAATTATTTTATTGGTCGCGAACGATGCGTTCCCGAGCCGGCGTATTTACCGGAAGACTCCGAGAGTCAACGACCGACGTAATCCTCGGGCATAATCGGCCCGTGATTTTTCCGCGTCCCGCACCTGCGATTCGTGTGTGCCGCGCTCGGTGGCACCATTGATCGGCAAACACGCGGTCCGAACGAGCTAACGGCGCGCCAACTTTCGTCCTGCCGATGCACCGGGTGACCCGGGACACGAAGGTCCTCGCTTCGACCCTATCGCGGAGCTGTATGCACTCTGCTTCACCCTTTTCGGACGAAGACTCTTTGAAGTACACGAAATTTGCAACGTATGAAGCTAAATTATACATCGAATGCATAAACGATAGAGAAAAGGGACACTACGCATAGATCTCTCGCTATTCGAGTAATTAAACCATTCGTTTGCAACTTAGTATTCAAGATTATTCCGTAGAATTGGACGCACGTTGCAGCTAGGCAGCTGCGCTCTTAGATCTTAAAATGAAGGTTCGAGTTAAGATAGTCGGGACTAGATTAAATTTGAATGAACTTCATCAAGTTTAAATCAACTACATCGCTTTTAGGCGAAAGAATTATTGGATTAAGGTTGGACAAGTTTCAACGTGCTCTGCTCGAGCAGCGAGCAATCTAATCCGCTCGAAAATCGACCAATTAGTTCCACGCGTCTCCCAAAATAATACGTTACCCCGTAATCATCTGATCGGCGAAGAACCAAGCCCATGCCCGCACGACAAGCGAACACGATGAGATGCAAGTTGCAACGGTCAGGTGTAACGATACTGCCTACCCATTCCGAGGCTTCACGCGGTCTTCGAAAGGCATAAAAGAATCGATAAGCGAACGATCCTAATCGGAAGCGTATCCCAATACGAGCGGCTCGCCTCGCCTCGCCTCGCCTCGCCCGGCCTCGCTGTGAAACTGTGTCGATATAATTGGGCGAAGGAGATCGATAACGATCGATACACCTTGGGAACACCGGCCGCAGGGAACGTGAACGGGAACGGGCAGCCCGATTTCGAATCGTTCGGCTGAATGACGGGAACGCGGATCGATCTACAAAGATCGATCATCCGGTTCACCGAGCTCGGCTCCGGTCCTCTTTATACACGGTTTAATAACGAGGAAGAGCCTCGGCTCACGTGGTTCACATAAATTTACGGGGCAGCAACCTACTTATCACCTGCTACGCTCGCGAAACGTTATCCCTTTAATATCGTTTTACACGCCGTGTAATTATCCGCCGCGCGCGCGGCCGACAAAGAAACGACAAGTTCGTTCGTTTTCTGAAAGAAATAAATTCAAACGAACGGGAATCTTCATTTTCGCGCGGCGTTACGGCGGTCGTCGCATTAATACCTGTCGAATTAAATTGTACACCAGTTGACATTCAATTACGGGAAATCGTTTATTTATTGTTGGCTCGTTCGCCGGCGTGGCGAATCAATTTGCGTCGGAAGAACCGACGATCGAAGTTGAAATTGAACTCGTCGGCTTCTTTTCGTTTTTAACCGGGCTTGAAGTCTTCGCGTGAGAGATGCCGAGGGGTGGCTCTAATATCTGTAATTTTAGAAAGTCAATTAATCGGAATGAGACGGCCGAGGATAGAAGTACGTTTAGCGTAAGTTGTAGAAGGTTTAATGAAATTTTTAGTAAATGGATCGTCGACCTTTATGGCCGTTTATTAGGAGGAAAATGCGGGGGCCGGGGATTCCATTAATTTCGAGGCTCCACTTATTCGTTTCAGCTGTGTCACCCAGTATGCTCCTTGAACCCCCATGCTTTCCCGTTTTCCAGCTTGTTCCTTTGGGTACTATGTACGCCCGTTCCTCTAGGCGATTTCCTATAACAAGCTTTCGATTATATTCGAACAGCCGCAAAATTCCTCGCGTGCCTTTCCCGTCGCGTCACTTTCCTGCGTTTCCACGGGATAAAGTGCAGTCCCGCGGTGACTGAATCACTCCTGGATACCTCCGCGGCTCCTCGCGCGGCCATGATGTCGCAGGAACGTCGGATGCGTCGCGGTCCAACGTTATTTTACTGCTGCTCGTGAAATAATGCAAGTTAGAGTACTATTACGATTACTCGATGTTACTTGAATTTAATTCGCAACAATTATTCGACGTTACTTATGCAAATAATTCGATGCGATCTCGGTGGTTCTCGGTAGTTCTCGGTGGCGGCCATCTTGTCGGCTAGTTCGCTGCTCCGTCGTTCACTAAACATTTCAAAGCAAACGTTTCGAAACAGAAATTTCCTCCACGATCTCTTTAGAAGAACTCTAATCGATGATATCATTGACAATTGCTTATCTCGAAGAACATTCTGTTAATTAGGAAGCGTACTAATGTACAATATCCCGCCATTTTCTTACCCGGTTCCCTCACTCGGCAGAAATTTCGAATTTTTGAAAGTCAAAGGTTTCCGTTCGTGATCTTTCTGCAAAAGAAGAATTTTAACTGACGCCAGTTAACCAGAGTCTTTGGGAAACGATGAAATATTTGAATTCATGTGGTAATAATTTCATAATTCGCTATGCTTCCAGCAGTCCGCTTCCTGCGTCCATCGGGAATTCCATGCTTTCTAAATCCAAGGGATTCCGTTCACGGTGTTTCGCAAGAGAAGAATTAACCGGCGGAGGGAAAAATTTTCGTGGGTGAACCGACGACGCGTTAAACTCTGTTGACCTCTCGTGATCAAGCGAACCGGCACTCTAGCCGTACAGGACGCGTGACCGTTTACCTGGAAGTCACGCCGGATCATTGAGCGCTAATGGTAACGTTCGGCTAGTTCCGTTGAACAATTTGCGACGGGGTGGCAGGCCTGGAGAAATTTGCAATTAAAACAACCGGGGCGGGGGCAGGAAAACTCCGATTCCCCCCGTCGCGACGCCGGAGATACGACGTTGTCGCTGGTGCGTCTCGTTGACGTGGTTAAACGAACTGAACACTTTGAAATAATGCAAGATCAACGGCCTTGAAATTTGTCGATTTCGTTTTATTTTACTCGAGAGAATAAAGTGATGTCTACACGTGCTACGATACAGGGAACAGTAATTATTTCGTTTTAGAAAATGAAGTATGATGTTGAGAGATATAAACGGAATTTTGTCTTGTAGATTGTTAGTCTTAATTTATTTAATTGACGAGCGTATAAGAAGATTTACGTGTAACAATGCTTCGTAAAATGAAACACGACGATAAAAAGATACGAGAATTTAGATGGCGGTTCACGTATATGGTGATTTTTATAAACAAATACCGAGAGAGTGAAATTAAGTGGGATTTTATAGTCGATAACGCAATACCATGGGTGGACAAAAAGGAAGCATAAAATTGTATTAAATTCCCACGAACTTCGCGTTTTATTTTTAAGAAACTTTTATGAGCTATATAATGAATACATGAACATCCTGCATAAAATCAGTATTAATTATTCAATTAATATCTCGCCACTCGCCGTACGCCTCTTCGATGGAGTATCAGGTAATTTCTTTTTCGATTTTTATCCGGAGCTCGGCGTGGCGTGAAAGTTGTTCACGATCCCCGCTTACTTCGTCTCCTTCTTCTTCTTCTTTTCTTCCTTCTCTCCGAGTTGTACGAAGAAAGCGACGCTGGCCTCTCGGAGTAACGAGAGATTATCAGGATTCCGAATCGTTTCGAATATATACTTAAGGCGGAAAATTCGAATCGCTTTAAGTATCATTCGAGAACTTGGAACACTTGGAACTCTCAAAATCCCAAAGTTCCAAAGTTTCAAAGTTCCAAAGTCTCAAAGTTACAAAGTTTTAAAGTCTCGTCATCGCAAACGACACTAAAACTCAACTGAAATTTAACACTTTCAAAGCCTAGAAGCTAGTCAGAGCAGAAGCGTTTCAGAAGATCGAAAAGTTAGCAGGTATCGGATCGTATTCGAAGCGATTCGAATGTTCCGTCACACGTAAGTACATATTCGAAGGGATTCGAAGTCTTGATAACCCATCGCTGGCTGGAAGTCGTGCATTGCCAATAGAGAACCACCGCTACCATCCGACTCGACGAAGAGTGACCCTCCGTCCTCCCTCTTCCCTTCGTTCCCTCTTTCTCTCCTCCTTCTCCCCCTTATGGTAACCCGTGACCACGTCATCCTTGTCCTAACCCAGTCACGTGAACCGTACCTTAACGCGCGAGGCCGGCCAGACACGCGGAAACGCGAGAGAGGATTTCGTATTGTGTGCGGTTGCAAGAACGCTTTTACCATTTGTCATGGAATTTCGTAGTTAATCCACCGGTTGTTACACGCGTATGATCGTTTGCTCGCCAGTTACCGTTGGGATTTCAAGTTCGTCACGACTGTTTGAATTTGAATTAAACTCCGGCACGAAAGATTTGCATTCGAATTGGCAATGAATCCGTGGTTCTGGTTTCGTTTGGAATTTAGCTTTGAAACTCACAGCGGAGAACTCGAATTTCGCTTTAAATTTCACCGTTCGAACTTCGAAAGGAGCCGTTGAGATTTGAATTTGAATTTACCCGGCAACATTTCAATTTCGATGGATTTCAATTGGAAAGCGTTTCCCAGCGAAACAACCGAAATTAAAATCGAATGAATCTAATTACTACCGCGGCGGACCAACCGCCGAGCAACCATTCCACCTTTCCCCAGGACCACGACCCTCCGATAAATCACTTTTATTTCCCTGTATGAAGTCGTCGACCCCTCGCGAAAGGGTCAATCGATCCTGGAAACGTTAATCGATGATCGATGTCTCGAGTTTACGTCCGAGTGATTTATTCGAACCTTGACCTAGGATGTCGGGGATCCGACGATGCCTTTGGCCAGCCCTTCCGACCGGCCATTAAGGTTCCAGCGCGTTGCTCCTGCTTCCGGCGTTTAAATTCAGACCACGGATGGACCTCGAACGGTAGAAGGAAAAAGAGAAGAAGGAAGAACGAACGTTCACTGGCGCACGCATCACCGATTATTATATTAGAACCGGCTGGCTGGCCGTCTATCTGTTCCTGATTTGACTATTCATCGGTCTCGCATCACGATTTTCGGACTCCAGCGAACTCCCCGGCCGCTGATAGATCCTTGGAATTATGTATATCCAGGAAATTGCTTGTACGAGCTGAATAATCACTCCAATCCCTCGAAACAACAAAGGAACGATTATTTCGCTCGAATCTTCGTGACCGAGATGCTCGAATAAAAGGAAATCGAAACGACGTTGCTACGCGATGGAAGCAAAACTACTGATCTCTATCGAATAACCAATATAGGCAAGGAATAATTTAATCGCTCATTTAAACACTAGATTAACTACTATTCACCAATGATCAAAACTTACAAGTCACTAGAACTCAGAACGAAACCTCTACATCCAAAAAGCATTGGTGATTAATTGAAAATTACTATGTTATTATCATCATCATCATCGTTGAATATTTGGTAAATAAATACAACAGAGTTTAATATATTTAATAATATGTATTTTAAGAAGGCGATTCACAAAACTGAACAGGAACGCTGTAACGCAATAAAAATGGTCCTCAGGTAAAACTGACACTGTTCTTACCATTAAAAGTATATTTAATGCTTACTCTCAACAATTATTATTGTTATTACTATAGTTTTATATTATCCATGTACTCTCCACGCTTCAATCGTCCGACTAGAATAGAAAGAAAGGAACCGTCGAGGTAACGGGATATTTTTCAGTCCGTCATACGACGCGAATAGGTTGATTAGCTGTATACCTTCGGGAACAGGTCAGCCCAATGATCGACTTAATGAGAAATCCGGGTCTCCTCTGGCCGTGGACGCCGGGGTCACGGAGTCAGTCAGGTGAATTCTTCTGTTTCCGACACGGGGACAATCGGTGCGGCGGATTGCCGCGCTCCCCGTGGCTCGGCTCCTCGCCGGCTGCTCGATGTGACGTTTATGTGCCATTGTGACGGTCAGGTTACATTAACCTTTCGGGACCGGTATTAATCTTTCGGACCGAGGTGAATCTTGATCGTGGAAAGCCGATCCTCGTGGTTCTTGTCCCCCGTTTCGTCGGCGCACTCGAAAAACTGCAGTTCACTCGGGGCAGCTACCCCTATCGTCGAGTTAGTTCGGCTGGAACAACGTTGTCGCTAGTTCATTAACACTAGAATTCATTAACACGTACCAGTCGAAATGACTGGTTTCGATTTTTTAATTTAGCAATTATTCATATATTCAAAGCATTGAATATTCAAAATGACTTTGAAAATAAATAGTTTCATTTCAGTACTGTAATGAATGTCTGAAGAAACTGAAAATAATCTATTGTTACAGTTTTTATGGGAATTGAGTATTAATCGTATTAAATGCTCGGTAGTTCGTTATTAAAGAATAAGTATTACTATTCACTAAAAATTCTCGTGGCAGTCGTAATAATACTATCAATGAAAATTGGTATAAACTTCCATTGGCAATCGCGGCGTACGTGAAAAAGACAGATTAATCCGTGAAACTCGAGCAGAGACATTCATGCTGTCCCGCGAAGAATGGAAGACAGTTCGTTAATCTTCTCCGGCCAAAGAAAATTCGACTTGAGAACACCGCGCGGCGAAACGGGGACGCCATTTTTCCCGGGGGACAATTTCTGTCCGTGTTTCTTTGTGCCCGCGCATCGAGCGTCTTTCTTGTTCCCCGTCTTTCCTTTTCATGCCCAACGGCGTCGGGATCCCTCCTTTTTATTATTCCTCGGCATTCTCTTCCTTATATCAATCCTTTTGTCGTCCGGCTCGCGAGGTTCCTCTTGTTCCACATGTTTCCCCTTTATTTTCCCCCATTTTCTCCTCTCCTTTGTCCGAGCCGCACGGCCGCTCGTGACCGGAAACGCAACGACCGCGCGCCTCGCTGGGACACACACGTCGAGGACAGATTTTCTTTTCGTCGATCGCTTCAGCACCAGTCAAATTATCTAATCTGTATTCCATTCTATTAAGTCTAATGGAAAGTGAGTTTTATTTAACAATTTGTCGGATAGCAGCAGAACGTGAAGTTTCGAATCTGTACGCGTCGTTAACTGTACGTTCGTACCATTTTAACAATATTGTAACCGATATTCGAAAATTGTTCCGTGAACATCACGATCTGCTATAGATAGTCGACGATAGAAATAAAGACGCTAAGGAATTTTCAGATTGGACGTTAAAGTATTCAAAGATTAAGAGATTGTTCTAAAATCGATGATTCCTAATTTGCAATTCCCTGATTTGCGATCAATCGCAAACATCTTACACGCAATCTCCATAGTTCTCTTCCTATCACCAAGTTAGTCTTAGATTTTGAAAATCCGCCGATTCCCAGACGATCTCCTCGATTTTCCAGTGCCAGTCCTTTACGATCGTGAATCATCTTCCAGGTTCGCACGGGGCCGTTCAAGGATAGGAACGGCAAAAAGGCAAAAGCTGTTAGGCGCGGGAGGGAACTCGCCGCGAGAGACAATGCCGTCGCGCAGTTCCACGGGGATTTTTGTAATCGATACGATTATCGTCGTTATTAACGCCGAAGGACGTGCCTTTACGCATCGGCGACCGCGACAACGAGCTGCCGGCGGACAGATTCGACGGCGGTTGCATTAGAAAACCTATCGATTGTCCCTGAATGATCAGCCGAGAAGATCGAATCTCTCGGAAATCCTGTGAAGCGTAATCACGCAGTTACATGCGCTCGCGCGCACGCTTGATTTTTCCTGCCGGCGCGCCGCCGGTGATTGTGATCCGCTCGACCGGCGACTAGATGCGTTCTCTTTACGGGCACAGGCGATTTACCAATGTTTGCGATTCCGCAACGCGATCCTTGGAATCCTACGAGGCCGCGAATACACTTGCGCCGCGACTCGCTGCTCCGAAATGAAACGTGCATATTCAGTTCGATGTTCGTTCGCTCGATTGTCCTTTATATTTTCCTTCTAACCGATTCGCAACTGTAGAATTATTCAATAGATTTCTGTAGATTCGATAGATTCGTTATTTCTTTTAGAAATGTTCAACTCGATTTTAACGGCGTCTTCGCTCTTTCAAAAAATGGCCGGTGTTAAAGATTTTAAGTATTGTTGAGCTATCGCCATTATCATTAATTTTATATTATATTATTTCAAAGAAATCTAATTCGAACCTGATTCAGCTTAACTCTTTGCGGACGAAGGGTCTCCAAAGTATACAAAATCTGTAGATTCTGGCAAATCACGCATCGAATGCCTGAATAATATAGAAATTATGTACTTTCTTGTTTGAGTAGTTGGCAACTTAGTATTACGAACATGGAAGTTTGATCTTCACAAAGTGTTAACCCTTTGCACGTGGAAGCTTTTCACTAGAAACAATCAACACTTTCCAATGAGACAAACGAAACTATTTGAAACGAAGTAACGAGAAAA